TTAGACTAAGAAGTAACATGTTCATTTACACAGCCACCAAGTGTCATACCTGGAAATAATTTCTTTTCTGGTTATTTAATTACCTCCAATATACTAGAAGCTGTTACAGAGACAAAGCAGTTCAATACATTATCTTGAATATCTTCTGATAAAATTGAAAAAATCAGGTGTAAATATGTGAACACTTATATCCCATGGCTAAGTGGTCTGCCAGATGGCAATAAAAGCCATGCACGAGTCAAAAGGTACAGGGCTAGTTATCACATCATAATGTGACACAAAAATACAAGAGGATTGTGTACATTTCTGGGCTTTGTGTTTTGAGAGGGATAGTGACAACTTAGACCTTATCTAGGTGAGACTTACTGACAGTATGAAACCCCAGAGATCAAAGATGAAGGGACAAGTGTCCAGAAGAAGAGAGAACTCAGTGAGGGTAAGGGAGGATGGCATTCTGCTCTCTCCTTATTGCAATGCCTAGCATATGACACAGCCCTATTGTTCTTGGTACCAAGAGCAGGTCTGCAGCTAATAGACAGAAGAAATAGGAAGAAAGCCTCCAACTTCATATAGGGAAGGACTCCCCAACTGCTGGAACAATAAAACATACATAAAACTAGCTGCCTAAGGTGGTAAAGACTTCCCTGTCCCTAAAGGTGATCCAGCATGGGCCAGGTGAACACCTATTTAGGATGTTATAGGGAGGATGCTTATATCAGATTTCATCTGTGTGCTGTTGAGTTCAGAACCAGCATAATGGCATAGCTGAGAGGTGAGGGATGCTCACTCTTGGAACCCAGACACCATGTGTGAAGAAGCCAGGCCACATGGAGAAGCCATTTGTAGCCCCTGCTAAGGTATCAACTGACAGTCAACATCAACCACTAGATGCATGAATGTGTGAGCCTTTGGATAATTCCTGTGGTCCAACCTCTGAACCTCCCACATTTGATACCAGAAGGAGCAGAGATGAGGTGCCCTGTCAAACTTTGCCCAAACTGCAGATTCATAAGCAGAATAAATGTTATCATTTTAAGCCCCTAAATTTGGGAGTAGTTAGCTATGCCCTGCTGGATAACTAGAATGTAATGCTTCTGTGATATTCTGAATGGCCATTGATCTCCAAGTTCATTGATAGTTGCAGACTCAAGTAGAAGTTGGTGCTATTTTCAGAAAGGCAGTAGGGTGGGTTGGGCTGATGAGAGAAGAGAAGGTTGGGTGAAGCTACTGGGAGCATAGAATGAAAAGTGAATGAGGAGCTTTGAGGACACAGTGAAAAACACAGTAAAGACTAGATCTGTGGTTTTGTCATGCCCTCCATTTCCTACATGGTTTTGTGATTTTTCTGACTCTTCTGGAGAAGGCAGCTAGATATTGAGCAGGTGCTAGATCCTGTCAAGAAAGTAGAAGAGACCTTGAAGTTCTGTAGAAGACCTGCAGTGGAGGAACAGGTGATAGACTCAGCAAGCAAAACATTCAAGGGGACAGAATGAAATAGAAGTGACTAGCATGTTATTGATTGTTGGGATAGAAAGGAACTTGAGAGATTGATTTCTAGATAAGGAAATCAAGATCAGGCACTTGGGAAACAAACTAAGTATTTATTGTATAGTACAGACAGTACCACTGAATTTCAGAGAAGAGAGGTTAGGTTTGGCACGAAGAATTTGAATGAGCGATGGGCCTAAATAAGCTTTCCAAATGGGAAGATCAGAAAACTCAAGACAGGATGGATATGATATGGGCTCTTTCTCTGTCTAAGAAGGGAAAAGGCATGTCATTTCTTAAAGGTTAGAGAAGAAAATAGTGTTAGAAATCATATTTCAATACCATCAAGGACAGTGCTCTCATTTTGAGAGGAAAAAAGTACATTGAGCATGCAAAAGAAGGAAACCAGAGAGGGTGACCAATTCTCCAGCAATCAGACCATGATACACTAAAATATTTGAGATCTGCTTCCCTGGTGCTGTGAATACAGGTGGGACAAGGCAGCCAAGGGAAGGGGATAGGAAGCAGTTACCTGTCTTCCTCATTGCTTTTCAGGCTATAGTAAATATATTTAAAAATTGAGATGCAATGCTGTAAATCTGGGCTGCAATCTTCTGAGTGGCAATTCTGTTGAGTATAACTGAAGTCCCCACGTTGGTCATCCCACCTCCGGATCCCTTCATGCAGTGCACAGCATTGATTATCCCGATTATGCCCCTAGAAAAGCAATTTCAGCATCTAGGGTGGAAGAGGAGAGTATTAATCATAGTGAAATTTGACAGGGCAGAGACCTCTCCGGGTCCACTGGAGCCATTTAAAGCTTTTATGTTTCCTTTAGACCAGCACGAGTGCATGCTCATCAGAACCATGAAGAGGGAAGATGCTCACTTGGAAAGCAGTAATAGCTCAGGACGATCCTCTCTCTCTCTCTCTCTCTCTCTCTCTCTCTCTCTCTCTCTCTCTGAGCCTCTTCTTACCCCCCGTTGCCTGAATCAGGTCATCTCAGCTGTCAGTGCTGTTTTGTTCCTCTTTTCAGGAGATAACTACCAAAATGCCAGTTAGCTTGGAGGGTGTGCGCAGGGCATTTAATTGGCATTAAATTAAAAAGAAATAGGGCCGGCCCGGTGGCGCACTGACACCGAGGGTTGCGATCCCATTACCGGTCAGTAAAAAAGACAAAAAAAAAAAAAAAGAAAAAAGAAAAGAAAAAAGAAATAAAGGCACCAATGTGGTTTTAATTCTGACAGTTTTATAATAGATAGGGATTCTAGAAAAAATAATGTCAAATCTAGGTAAAATAGGAAGACTATGAAATGAACTCAGTGGTTGTTTTGAGAAGGGAGAAGGAAAATGTTCCTGCTGCAACTTTATTTAACATTCAGTACAGAGTATGGAGCCAAGACCACAAGAAAAGTCAGAGACCGCCATGTGCCGGTGACATACAGACCAAGTGCCACCTGCGAGACGTCACGCTTTCCTGCTTCTCCCTACTGTCCAACAGTTACAACTAAGACAAGTAGATATTTTAGAATTGGGGACTGGAAGGGATGTTAAAAGATCATTTAGGTAGTTTCTCTGCCTTCAGGGAGGAGTAAACTGAAATCATTCTGTCTATATTAAATATGTCTAGCTTGTAAATTACGTTTCTCTGGAGGGCGTCACGAATTAGCCCTGGGGGAGTATTTAGAATCAATTCATCACTACCAGGAAATTGTTTGTGTGCAACCTTTCCCATTTCAGTTTCTGTTTCTTCCCTTTCCATCCTTTATAAAGAGACACAATAGCTGGTTATTGTCTTTCTGAGAAGCCTTCATTCCTAATCTGTGTTTCCTGAAATATATTTATTACTGAAACCCTTCCTCACGTGCTCTATTTTCCTGCCCTTAAGTAATATTTATTGCTTGATGCTAAGCCCTCCCTCCAGTAAGAAGCTGCTCTTCTTTCATTATAAAACCCAGACTGGATTCTGTATTCTAGGAAAAGTTTGGCCAACTCAACATAGAAAGATCATCTAATGATCCCTACAGTCAGAACTTATACCTCCAGGACCACACTAGCTTTTTAAACCACAGCATGAAGATAGCTGGTGGTCATTCTGTTGTCTTATCTTCATACCAAACTTGTATGTAGCTATTCTGTCTTTCCCAAGAAACCTCCTTCACCAAATATCTCTTTAATGGACTATGCATAAATGGTTATAACTGATTGTTCAATGAACATGTAGAACCCATTTTTTAAAAACTAAAAAATACATGGTTAAAAAAAAAAGGAGAGGGAGGTATACACCAAAAAGTTTTCTCCCAGCACCTGTTCAAGCCATGCAGTAACCCCCTTGGGCGTCCAACCCCCTTTTCTGTTCCTTGTTCATGGTAAGAGCCCAAGTATGTAAAAAGAAGTACATATAATACATTTTTAATACAATTGGCAGCATGTTTTAACTTTGCTCTGATTTTTTTTTTAACTTTAATACACTTTGGGAATCTTTTCACTTTGATATATACAGATATCTCTCATTGTATTTTATGGCTGCCTAGTAGCCTTCTGAATGGCTGTACCATAATGTATTTGTTCCAAACCTTTCTGAATACCGATGCCATTCTCCACATAGCCTTTACCAGCCGAAGACCGTGGAGGACTCAGTATCACCTTCCTCTTCACTGCACAACTGTTTGCAGCGTGCTTAGTATGAGCACAGCACTGTGCTTGGTGCCATAGGGAGTGCGAGGAGCAATGGGTTTTGCAGCCTCTGTTCTCTAGGACACAACAGCCTCATCAGAGAGAAAAGGCATGGGGGCAAGGAGAGCCTGATTGCCAAATCTACTTCCTCACAATTTTCCCTGGCTTTCTTGCACATCAAACACTCTTTCTAACACATGGTACACATGGATGTGTGTATAATTTCCGCTTATCAGATGTGTGTGTAATTGTGTGCCTGATCTGTCTTATACTGGGAGCTGCCAAAGCAGGGATCTCAAACTCAAATGCCTACAGGAGCCAGGAAAGTGACCTAAATGAGTCAAGTGAGCCAATCTGGAAGGCACAAGCTCTGTTTAAAGGGAGCAGCCAACTGCTACTCTGCTCCAGGAGATTATTTCCTTCTAAGTCGCCAGATATGATTGATTAAAAGGTATATGAGATCTTTCTGTATTATTTCTTACAATGCATCTGTATTATTTCTCACATATGCATCTACTATTATCTCAAAATAAAAAGTTTATTTTAAAGAAAAGCCAGAAACCTAGATCGTTGTGTGAAATTACCTGATTTAGAAATACAGGCAAAATTTTAGCAGTGTGCAGGCCCAGCCAAACTTGTCTGAGAGCTGGATATAGCCCTGGGTCCACCATTTTGCTACCTATGCACAGCTGGAACATTACAACTTGATTTGTAGAAAGCTCGAGGCAGCTCAATCCATGGATTTGCTCAAAAAAGTATTTCTTGTTACTGTGAGTTTCCATTGCTTTTAACAGTGGCCATCCTCACTTACTTTTTGAGTTTTCCTCTCATTCCAGGTCCTTGGATGTGGCTGTCTTGCCCAAGCTGTCCTCAGTCGAGGACTTTTTGGAGGAATTGTCACTATTAATGTTGGATTTGCAATGGCAGTTGTAATGGCCATTTATGTGGCTGGAGGTATCTCTGGTAAGAAATAATAATAGCTACTATTAACTCAACCATTCCAATGTGCTAGCACAAATGCTAGGAGCTTTACATACCTTAATTTATTTAGATCTCAACAATCCTTGCAAGAACATGTACTTGATCCCATTTTTATAGATGATAAAATTAAGATGGCCAACAAATAGTAAGTGACTTGTGCAAAGGCAACATTTAGCAAAAGACAGAGATAGGGTTAGAGCTCACAACTAATTCATTCGTAAGTCTGGGCGCTGCAGCATATTCTTCATCAGTCAGTGTGATCTTTTACTTGCTCTACCCCACACTTGGAAGCCATTTCCCAGATGCCCTATGAATAGCTCAGTGATGGTCACTCCAATAGAAGTGAGTCCTTGGACCTTTATCCGCAGCAATCAGAGAGAGTCTAGGGATCTTGCAAAATAAACGGTGCTTTTGTAGAAGTGCAGATCTGACTTAGAAGATCTTAGTCTAATTCTGCTTTGAGGGGTGGGCTGATTAAGAGCCATTTGCAAGGTTCTGAGAAGCAAAATGAAATGGTGAGATTTAATACAGTCTGGGAACTTAGACAGGGGCCATGGAAATGATCCAGTCACCACGGGCATTCTGAATCTTTCAGCAGCCTGCGTGGGTACTCAAGACACTGAGGCGAGACTGCTGGTGATAAGGGAGAAAGGGAACAGAGCAACCACTGCATGCTGGGCACTGTGCTGGGTGCCAGACATCTGCTTCTCCCTTGTCCTCTACAGCAGCACCCTGAGACAGCTACTACTGTCTCCATTCTTCAGAGAAAACTAGGGCTGAGAGGGATTCAGTACATTGCTGGAAGTCCTGCAGCTGGTAAAGAGACAGAGCAAAGATGTGACCCAGGTCTACCTGACAGCAAAGCTATGTCCCCATTCTTACACAACATTCCCAGTGCTCTACTGTGGGAGGGATATTCCAGTCAGGGCCTTTGGGCAGAATGACCCTGACAGAGGATCCTGGAGTTCAGCTGGCTGGCCTGGTAACAGATGCTGCCATTGGGGTGCTAAAGAATGACTGCTGAGACTCCCTGAGAGCCTTCTTGGACTGGCCACCTGGAATGGTCATTTATTGGCTGGCACCCTTTCCATATCACAGCCATACTCAGATCCTGGGATGGTCTGAGTTACAGATTCCTGTATATGTGATTTGCTTGGCATGAGCGATGTCTCTACTCAAGCTCTTGTTGAGCTTTTGCTGTGATCTCAGCACTGTACTGCCTGTCTCCAGGCAAACTCCAGGTGAGGCTCAAGAATAACCAGGGGACTTCCCTGAATGTGCCAAGACTTCATTAGACTGTGGGCTTTGAAACCAGACACAAGCACACTCTTGGCATAAAACAAGCATGCAGGATGCTCTACAGCTGCCCCCTACGAACTCCCACTCCTTCACATACGTGTGTATACTACAGACCATGCAGTACAGATGTGGGCATAATTTCAGCAATTTTGTAGGTGGAGACATAGTTTTGAAGTATTCTGCCTGCATGACACCCTGAACAGAGCATCATCAAGTAGTTAATTTAGGATTAATTGGCTCCCAGGCCCTACCGATGTAGTTAATACCCTTCACCACCACAATGGCTCATATCTGTTTGTGGCCATCAATGTATCTGGAGACTTTGGCAGTCACCACAGGAGGAAAACAGGTCAGGGATCAGCAGGAAGGAGAAGAGGGAGTGAGGGGATGGCTCCTGCACTGGGGCTAAGCCCCTGTGGTTAGAAAGGTAAAAGCCAGAGCTGATGGGATTGTTTTCACTAGAGGCTGTGTTTCCAGGTGAGGGTCAGAACCTGATCAAGTTATTTATGAGAAACTGTGAGATCTCAAAATACAAATACAGTAGTGTCTGAGCCTGGCTGGTAAAAGATAGCAGTGGGTGGGAAGGGAGTCCCTTTCACTCCATCTCTGCTTGGAACCTAGCACAGTTCAGGCTCCCTGAGGCTCCATGTTGGCTTTGGGAACATACAGAGCCAACACACAACCCACAATGACATCCGCACAGATGATAGCATCAGTATTGGCTTCAGTGGCTGCAGAAATAGGAGAAGAAGATTGTGTGTGGGAGGTGACACAGCTAATGGTGGCTGCAGCCAGTGTACTGGTTTATGGGCACATGTGAGTCCCTCTCTGAGGATTCCAAAAATAACAAGTGTATACAGAACATAAATATAAATGAGATTAGCTGACATTTGGCTTTTACATATAAAACATCACATTACTATAAAGAAGTTACAGCATCTTGCTCCTTTGTGAATGTGCCAATCAAATCCAGTCAATCAGAACTCACAACACCCTAACTAGGCAGCATCCTGCACAGTTTTTAGGCTGCCTAATCATAGTTGTTTTTGATGTAGCATATTATAAGTAAAATAAATATATTGAAAAAGCAAAAGAGCCTTGCTTAATGACAAATAAAATATCTTTATCACAGCATTGTCTATGGGTAATGGGGAGGAAAGGATTTGCCTAGAACAGAACCTTGAAACAGTTCACTCTGTTCACCTTAGACTTTCATCTTGCACCTTCGTGGCTCCAGCTGCACCCCCGGGCTCTTTATGTGAATAATCTGATCATCACAATGACCTTGGCAGAGCCAGTATTGGAGTGCAGGACTCTCTGACTCTAGTACTCATGTTCTTTCTACTACACTGCTCTGCCTTGTCCTTGTAGTAAGCTAGGGGTGACCACTCATCTCTGCAGGGAGAAATTTCTAGTAGCCACTTGGCCCCCAGCATGAGTCAGTGTGCACCTTTCTGATCCTTTCTGCCACCTCTCGGACCCTTTTCCTCACTCCTTTGCAAAGCACCCTCTCAGGCACACCCTCTCTGATCCCCAAACGATTGAATTCTCTGTAAATCTCTGTAGTCTAAGCTGTCTAAATAAGGTGTCTGATTATTTAATTCTTCACCTTTCATATCTTGAATACCTATTAAGTGCCTTGCATTGTGTGAGGTCCAAGGTGAATAATTGTTTTCAGTTTCAGGGTGCTTGGGAGGGGCTAAAAACATAAACCTACCTATGGGGAATTTTATTTTGGAAGAGGAGCTCGTTAAACAAAGAAATCTCCCATTGGTGGACTCATCTGAGGGCAGGTACTTGATTGGAGGTGTTTTCACAATGGATGCCTCCAGGCCAGCTGGGTGGCAGCTACTGAAACCTCTGGGAGAAGAACAGGGCAGGCTTCAGGAACTTCCCACTGCACCATGTGACCCCCTCCTAGCCCGTGTTTCCTGCCTTACTGGGAAGCTGTCCTCCTGTTAGCCTCCATAATTGTGGCTCTCTTGGATTTAAAAGTAAAACACAACAGTTGGAGTGTTTGTAAGGCTTTGGGAAATCATTTGTGTTTCGACATGTTGGCATTTTCTTGCTCATCTTAGCCCCTGAGAGGCAAGGACAAGTGAAGAAAAGAACCTTGTCGTTTAGCCAGCAGTCGGAACCCCCAGCCCTGCAAGCCCACTTTGGCTTCGTAACTCAGGAAAAGCAGAGCTTTCTCCACAGGGGGAGGGCTTCTGGAAACAAGCTCAGCTATCAGTTCTGTAGCAGGCCATGTGGTGCAGGGTCATTATCATCATCATCACCACCAGCGTCATCATCTCTCTTGTTTCCAAGTGTGTCTACAACCTGAAAGCCCACATTTCAATATGATCACATTGACAGGGACTCTGATTCTTCCTCCACACAAATGTCATCTGTATTCCTCAAATGAACATCCTTCTTCCACAGGAAGTGAGCTTATATGCTCAACAATGATTTTTTAATTTTTTAATTTTTATTTTTCTGCCCACTAAGGCAGAGAAGACTTTATAAACATAGTGAAGAATATCTGAAAGTGGTATAACCTGGATTTGGTCATGTGGCCTTAAGAAAGTTCCTTTAGTTTTGTGCCTCAGTTTCCTCGCCTGTTAACTGGAATAGTACCCATCTCACTGGGTTCTTAAGAGGATCAAATGCACATAATAACCCTATGATAGTGTCTGGCAAGTGTTCAGTAAATGTTGTTGTTGCTAGCAAAGCCAGCTGGGGATGTTAGTGACCTACCACAGAACAAACCCTCTACCTGCCTTGGTGGCTAGAGAATCCAGGAGGCTGATTTCTCTAGCTTTGGTTCAAGTTGAGGTGAAAGAAATGTTGCTACTATGTGTGAGAGAAATATATTGTTTATGCAGAGGAACTGAGGAGAATCCACTCAAACGCTATAATCACCTTCATAAACTAAGCTCTTTATCTCAGGGAGAGGCACAGTCCCTCAACCAAGGGTCATTTCCCCTTAAAGAGACATCTCTTTCCAGTCCTAAGGTTGTTTTGAAACTCTTTGGGCATGGACTGAGGAATTGCCAGATATAGATTTAAACTTTATACACACTTTGTATAAGTATATTGACTTTTTTAAAAACTGAAGTTAACAGTTTATATCAATCTATTTGGGGTTATTGCTTTATAGACAGATAAAACCCCATAAAAAATGAGCCACTTAGGGGCCGGCCCGGTGGCGCACTGGATAGTGCGCCGCTTGGGAAGCGCGGCAGCCCTCCCGTCCGAGGGTTCGGATCCCACGTACAGACCGGCTCCCGCTCACTGGCTGAGCGAGGCGCGGGAGCAACGCCGAGGCTTGCGATCCCGTCAGCGGTCCCCGGTCCGGTACGGGGGCAACACTGAGGGTTGCGATCCGTTGCCGGACACGGAAAAAAGACAAAAAGACAAAAAAAAAAAAAAATGAGCCACTTAGGGGCCGGCCCGGTGGCGCACTGGATAGTGCGCCGCTTGGGAAGCGCGGCAGCCCTCCCGTCCGAGGGTTCGGATCCCACGTACAGACCGGCTCCCGCTCACTGGCTGAGCGAGGCGCGGGAGCAACGCCGAGGCTTGCGATCCCGTCAGCGGTCCCCGGTCCGGTACGGGGGCAACACTGAGGGTTGCGATCCGTTGCCGGACACGGAAAAAAGACAAAAAGACAAAAAAAAAAAAAAAAAAATGAGCCACTTGAATACAAGTTTCTTTCTAGATCTGACTCCCTCCCCATAAAGATGAATATTCTAAACAGTACCTTACGATGCCATGGGGATGATTAGTACCCCCTTCTCCCCTCCCCCCCATATAGTTCTCCTCACATTAGTTCTCTACCTAGAAGACTGAGTTCTGTACAAGGTCTGTAGATAACATTTTCTTTACAATAATCCTCCTTCTTGGCCTACCCTCTGCCATCCCTAAACATCATCATCTTCTCTTCCTGGCAGGTGGCCACATCAACCCAGCTGTGACATTTGCAATGTGTCTTTATGGACGGATGAAATGGTTCAAATTGCCATTTTATGTGGGAGCCCAGTTCTTGGGAGCCTTTCTGGGGGCTGCAGCCCTCTTTGGCATTTACTATGGTGAGTCGGGCCCCTGAGACCAAAGGTTATGGACAGCTGAGCATAACCCGAAAGTCAGAATTACTTGGTAGGAAAAGGTGAGATAAAATGAGAACAGGAAGCATTCTAAGACAGTTGACAGAAGGTTAGTTCTAAGTCTAAGATACTGAGGCCAACATTCTCATTAGAGCAAATTCATGAAGCCACTTAATGAAAATGGTCACACGTGAGCTGCGGGGAAGAACTTCAGGAGGCCTGTCTTGAGGCCTAACCAGCACTACAACGTGAACGTGCACAGAAGGAGCAAGAGGCCAGTGGTTTCTCCACTGCTTTTTTCTGGGTTGGCTGAGAAAGGAGGTGTCGACTGGTGGCAAAGGGTATGACCGGTAAGTATGCAGAGAAGGAATCTGGGAAAATGTTTTTGAAGGAAGGAGCATAGCAGAGAAATGGGCTGGGTGGGGGCCTCATCCCCCTTCTAGTAAACAACCAGGGCTTCCATTCTGCAACAGTCCTTGAAAAATCACAGTGCTGGCAATCGAGGACACAGGCTTTAGTTTTTGGCTGTGTCAGTAAGTAGCTATGTGACTTAAATAAGTCATCTGACTTGATTGGACTCAATTTTCTTCTCTGGAAAATGAGGGAACTGAACTTGATGATTCTCAAGTCATCTAGTTCAAAGCAAAAAATCATGGGGTTCCATGAAATCACGTGTTAGAGCCGTTCCTTTTGTCTTAACCAAGGCAAGTCCCAATACATTATGACTATCAAACTGAAGACCTCAGGAACTAGGATTTATGAACCAACCCTTAGAGAAACAGGTTGTGGAAAAGGGCCTCTCCTTAGACACTCCATAGAGTGTCTCTCTGAAAATTAGAGTCTGAGAGGACTAAAGAGGAAATCAAGACCAGACCAGGAATTCAAAGAGCCAGCCTTTGTGGCAAAAGAGGCTTGGGGTGGGTGCTGGCTGCATTGGTGGCTGCCATCCCCCTAGCTCTAAGAGGGTCTTTACTATACTGTGACACCCTCAAATTCTGGAGTGATGTTAGGAGAACCCTTTGAGGATTATAAATTACTGAGAACCCTCTGGAGATGATAAATTCTGCCTACAGCAGGTCCAAGCCTCACTTTGGCTTTAGGTTGACGTAGAAAATTCCAAGAATTTTCCCAAAAGAAGATTGGTTCCAAGGTCCCCAGTGGCTAAAAATTTGGTTCTAGTTTGGAGTGGGCCATCCAAGGCAGCTAAGGGCTTTCAACCTTTGACCCGCCATCCTGGGATTTCCCTGGGCATCTCTAAAACTACCACACTGTGAAGGCAGGAGAGACAAATGATACGGATATGCCAAGCTCGACCTGAGTGTTTGACTGCGGTTGTTTAGCATAAGGCCTGGCATGGGCCTCCTTCATCCCTTCCCAGAGAACACTAATGTGCCAGAGCTTTGTCTTCCATAGATGGGCTTATGCACTTTACTGGTGGAAAATTGCTCATCGAGGGAGAAAATGCAACAGCACACATTTTTGCAACATACCCAGCTCCATATCTTTCTCTGATGAATGCATTTGCTGACCAAGTAAGTATAGACTCAACAAAGACCTAATTTGGGGGAAAGGACATTACCTAGTAAGGGGAATGCATTGGCGTATTATAGGCTTATCAGAAGGGAAAGGTCGTGTTTCCAAAGTCAGAAATCACTGGGCATAACCCAAGCTTTCTTGACAATTTTTTGCCTTTTTGGAAGTTGATACCACTAGAAGAGTTTCCTGCTTTCTCTTTAATACATACATTTGTTTCACATCAGTTTAGGTCCAAAAAAGAGTGGATGACTGGACATTTCATCCCCTGTAGAGGAAAATGGAGTTCACTTTACTATTGTCATCACTTTTGTGCAAATGGTCTAAGTGTGGATGCCACAAGAGAACACATTTATATCACAATTCAAGGAGGTAGTTGAGGGCTGGCCCGGTGGCGCACTGCTACAGTGCGCCGCTTGGGAGCGCGGTGGCGCTCCTGCCGAGGGTTCGGATCCCACATACAGACCGGTTCCCGCTCACTGGCTGAGCGAGGTGCGGGCGCAACACCGAGGGTTGCAATCCCGTTGCCGGTCCGGTACGGGCGCGACACTGAGGGCTGCGATCCGTTGCCGGACATGAAAAAAAGACAAAAAGGGAAAAAAAAAAAAAAAGGGGGTAGTTGAGGGCTGGCCCGGTGGCGCACTGCTACAGTGCGCCGCTTGGGAGCGCGGTGGCGCTCCTGCCGAGGGTTCGGATCCCACATACAGACCGGTTCCCGCTCACTGGCTGAGCGAGGTGCGGGCGCAACACCGAGGGTTGCAATCCCGTTGCCGGTCCGGTACGGGCGCGTCACTGAGGGTTGCGATCCGTTGCCGGACATGAAAAAAAGACAAAAAGGGAAAAAAAAAAAAAAAAAGGAGGTAGTTGAGCCCCAGGTACTATGGATCCTACCTGTCTCAACATGTGCAAAGGTTTATCCAAATTCTCAAGGTAGCTGAAAGTGTCTCTGTCTTACTGACATTTAAACAAGCTGCTGGTACCCAAGCATCTGTGGTGTAGCCAACAGCACAACTGTTTTGGTCAGTTTGTGGCAAGATCAGCATTGTCAACCCAACAGACTCTTCCTCCCTCACTGTGTCTCAAGAAGGCTGTTGGTCATCTTGGGCAGGGTAGTGGAAGGAAGGAAGGAAGGAAGGAAAGAAGGAAGGAAGGAAGGAAGGAAGGAAGGAAGGAAGTCTGCTTATGAACTGTATGCTCTTGGGCAAGTGTCTTTACCTCTTTCTACCCAAGTTTCTTCAACTATAAACTGAGAATAATAATAGGACCCACTTCACAAAGTTACTATGAAGTTTTAATGAGATAAAGCATATGAAGTAACTGACAGTAAGTTTTCAGTGAATAATAGCTATCATTTAGCTGTTAAAGTAAAATAGTAGTTTAGAAAGTTCAGAAAATAGAAAGTAGGGAAAACGCCAGCTATAACCTGCCACTGCAGAAAACCTCTTATCATTTTTATATATTCTCTTACAATTTTTCTTTTGTGTGTGCTTTTAAAAATAAAACATAATTCACATACAATCTTTTTTTTTGCTTAATGTCATAAGCATTTTTTAATGTTATCATATAGCTTTTATATTTATAGATTTTGATAGCTATATAGTAGACTACAAAACAGATATTGCATAACACAGTTAGCTCTTTCCTTATTGATATGTACTTAGGTGGCTTCCAGTTTTTCAGTACTATAAATAATTCTTAGTGAACATATTTGTTTCATGAAATTTTCCATGTTTTATATTATTTCTATGATATAATTCTCAAATATCCAACAGCTTCAAATTGCATAAATAAATTTATATGTTGAAATGCATATTGCTAAGTTATTGCTGGATTTTCTTTCAAAGTGTGTCACATATTTAGTTCTACTAGAAAAACCTTAAAGAACTGATATTCTTTCCCTAACATTTGACATTGTTTGCATTTCTTTTATGACAAACCAGTTTTCCTCACTTGTTCTCTGATTCTATTTTTCTTTTATGAATTTTCTGTTCATTCTCCTTGCACATTTACATGTTGGTGTCTCATGTTGTTTTTCTCACCAGTTTGAACAAGCCCTTAGTTCGTTTTTCCAGCCTGCAGTCTGCCTCTCTATTCAGCTGGGTAGTAGCTCAGCAGGACAGCATGGCTGTTAAGATAACAGTCTCTAGAGCCAAACTCTTTGGGTCTAAACCTGGCTGCCATTACTAAGTATGCGACCTTGGCAGGAAACTAATCTGTAAGTGAGAATTATATTAGTATCTACTTCTAGGAGTGCTGTGAAAAGAAGAACAACATACTCATCCAGTATATATTACTTATTTCTAGGTTTATTTTTAATATGAAGGGGTGAATTTTGAGGTGGGCAAGTGAGCAGAATACAGACTAAACTCCTTGTGTATTTTCTCCCTCTCCAGGTGGTGTCCACCACGTTTCTCATCTTGGTTGTCTTTGCCATTTTTGACTCCAGAAACTTGGGAGTCCCCAAAGGCCTGGAGCCCATTGCCGTTGGCCTCCTGGTTTTTGTCCTTTCTTCCTCTTTGGGACTGAACAGTGGCTGTGCCATGAACCCAGCTCGAGACCTGAGTCCCAGACTTTTCACTGCTTTGGCAGGATGGGGGTTTAAGGTCTTCACGTAAGTAACAATGGTACGGAGTAGAAAGAAAGATTCAGGCTGCACCTTATCAGGGAGGGTTGTGCTCTGACTTGCAGATCCAGGAGGACTCAGATGAGAGAGCCCATGCTAATTATGACTCTGGTCATAACTGTGGGACATTTCATTGCTGTTTTGTGGCATGATGTGAGTGCGTGTGTGTGTGTGTGTGTGTGTGTGTATGACAGAGAGACAGAGAGAAAGAGATAGGCAGGCTCTAGGTAAACTCAGTAGAGATAGGCCTGTCCCATATAATCATAATAATCCCTCAATTAGTATAAGGTTTTAAGTGAACATTTTGATTGTCCAACTTGACTACAGATTCACTTTGTGACAAAATTGGGATGAGAATTTACATCTTCTGATACTACTACAGGGCTCTTTCTTGCGAACCGTGCTCCCTACACTTCATTCATTCAACAGATCTTTATTGAACACTACTCTGTTGTCACTGTGCTTGGCAAGGAAATTCCAAAATCAGCAAAGACACTGCCTTGAGCAATATAATGAGTGCTCTGACAACCCCTAAAAGAGCTGAGGGGACACAAATGACTCTGCCAGGGAAGTTGGGAAAGGCATGACTGAAGTGAGAGCTGAGTTTGGTCTCGAGATATGAAAATTAAGAAATTCCTGACAGGACAGACATAAAATAGAGCCCGTGCCCAGGAAATGGCAAGACCCCATGCTTTCTACTTCAGAATGTGCTGAGGAAATATGCCAACTGTTGGTGCCAATCTCCTGGGACAGATTTTGCCCATTAATTCCTTCCCACTTTCTCCCCATAGATGCCCACCCCCATCCATGACAGCTCTCTAGGGGAAAGGAACTCACCTTGGGTCATCAGGAAACAGGACTCTAACAGGAGAAAGGGAAGTAGGGAAAACACATGTGAACTAATTCTACTTTAGCGTTTGCTATGAGAACAAAGGAGTTGACTGTTCCTAAATGCTGACCTGTACATATAGTCATATGCACATCATGGCTTTATTTAAATAAAAGTTTGGGTTGCTTTTTACTAGTGTGAAAAACAAGCAGTTAAAATAACTGATACCATTCAGATTGCCACCACAGATGTCATTCAGGGCCTCTAGAATGTAAGCGTCATGAGGACCTGGACAGCTTTTTCCGTGCTGTATCTACAGTGCCTAGAATAGGGCCTGGCACATAGAAAGGTTCAATAAAAAATTATTGAATAGAAGAATGAACAAATGCTATGTGTCAGACATCTCCTAGGAGTTGAAGGATACAAGGAGAATCAAGCAACATTCCCCATCCTCAAGAAATTGACAAGAAAATGAATTTTCTAGAACAGTGGTTCTCAAAAAGAGGTGGGTGAGTTTACCCCAGGGACATTTGGCAATGCCTAGAGACATTTGGCATTGCTTGGAGGAATTGCTACTAGCATCTAGAGTGGCCAGGGATGCTGCTAAGCGTCCAACAATGCACAGGACAGACCCCACAACAAAGAATTATATGGTCCAAAATGTTAATAGTGTTGCAGTTGAGAAACTCTGTTCTAAAACATGAAAAAATTGAACAAAACATCCCCAACTGGGAAGGATCCCCTGTACTCTTCCAATGGAGCATCAAAAACATATTTCCTAAATATCTCCTTATTCTTGGAGTATGGAATTAGTTCATGAGTTTCCTTCAATCCCACCTTCCAGAGCCTAGTTCTAGGAGACTACCATCCCCCACCCCTGTCACCTCTGTTAGCTTCACATGGACCTCTCAAACAAAGCCACCCCAAGGCCTCCCTCTGAGTTCTCCTTCCTGGTGCATCCAAAGCTGTAAGAGTCATGGTGGTTCAAAAACAGGTACAGATCTTACTTGGTCTCTCTTTACCTTTTTAAGTGTATGGTAGGCGAATGCTGTGGGAGAGTGCTGGACTCACCTAATTCCACCTTCTGAGCGCCATGTCCCTAATTAGTGTCAGGGTCTTTTCCCTTCATGCATCCATCTGTGCATTCATGCAGCTACCTGATCTCTTACTCAAGGCCCTATGCTAGCGATGGTAAGACCCAGGTGCTGTTCTTCACTTTTGTTTATATTCTGCTTAAGAGCTTATAGCATAGGCTCTTACACAAAGTTGAAGCTGTCAAGTGCCATTAAGGAGATTTGACTAATTTGACTCTAGGATTTGAGAGAAGGTTTACAGCTCCAAATTTAGGAACTGTGGGGGTGGAAATGGGAGCACTTTGTAGTATTTGGACATGCCTGAATGGTTGACAGAAAGGATATCTCAGACAGAGAGGACTATGTACTCCAAGACAGAATGTTAAAATAACAAATGATCTAGTCTAGCTGGAAGGTTGGAAAGGGCAATTGTCAGACCACAGAAGACCCAGATGCCCAGAATGAGATTCTGGATTTTTCTGCTCCCTATTCTGTTGTTTATAAGGAGCAGGATGGGATTTGGGGCAGAAGTTTGGCATGTTTAAAACATCAATTTAGAAAAATTAATTTGGTATCACCATGTAAGATGGATTGAAAAGACAGAGAGTAGAAGAGTAGAAACGTGTTAGGATAGAGCTAGGTCGGCTGGTAATTCTCAACCAAAAAGTCTTCAAAAAAAACCTTTGAGGGATAACAGGCCTCCAAATTATCCTTAGAGTGTCCCATCCCTTCAGAGTTGTGTATCCAAGGTAAACATCTCAGTACATATCCTACCTGGGCCTACACCCAGGGTCTCAGGTAAAACCAAGACTGCCTTATCTTAGCTCCTCGCTTGTCCCTGAATGGCAAGCAGTGGAGGACGGCAGGGAGAGTGCGGTCCCAGAGGCTCTGACAAGGGCAGGAGCCAACAGACGGGCCGACTCTTGCTTTTTCTTTAGCTATTAGGATGTTTCTCATCAATGTTTTCTCTGCTAATTTACATTAGAATGTTAGTGACTTAATGGGTGAAAGTCCTCTAGAGTATTATTAATTTTTACAAATAGTTTACCCAAAGTAATGAATCCCTTAAGATGGTCTTTTAGACAATTGACATACACATGTTCCTGGCATCCCCAAAATCATAGTGTAAAAATAATCACTACCCTGTGTGCCTGAAAGACCAGGCCGGGCCGGTAACCACTTCTGAGCTCTTCCATTTATGATTTGTGACCATGGCACAATGTGTCCAGCCTGGTAGAAGTAAGAGGGTCCAGCCAGTGAAAGGAAGACACGTACCCTGGCAGATATCTTGGACCTTAATCTGCAACTAAATGACAGGGCTTTCTTTTTTTGTCATAAAAGGAAAATCATGGACTAAATAAGGCAGGTTATACTCGCTTCATGTGCTGACCTCCAGAGAAGGCTCCCGGTTCTTTACAGCCAGATGGGAGAAGCAGCCACCCTCCACGTGCCTCTCCTAGAAAAATCCATCTGGATTTGGGGGTGTGGGAAAGGGAGCTATGAAAGCACCAGTGTAGGGTCCTCTCTTTCATGCAGTAAGAGTGACATCTGGTGGCTGTGCTCAGCCTCAGAGCTCTTCTGTCAAGCCTGCATTGGTGATCAAAGACTTCTAGGAGTACAGTACTTAGATGCTGCATGTGGAAGGGACCATGCACACAGGACTGCAGCTCAGAGCAGGGGTGACTTGCACAAAGACCTTCTAGACAGTCCTGATTTCTAATTCCATTAGAACTAGGTCTCATGGGATCTAGGACAGGGCTCTTGTTTTCTGCTTATTTCCTGTATTATCTTTTCTAATCAAAATTTAATATAAACAAAAGGCCACAGGGAACATATGTGTAGTTATTAAGCATAACAATGAAAAGAACAGCTATAAATCCTTCTGGGATCCTCCCAGGACATTGTGAAATCCTCATACACATCTGCGTGCTCCTCCTGTTTCTCCTGCCTCTCCCATATTATCCCGAACTCTTATGTGTATTATTCCCCCACTTTTAAAAAATAGTTTTATCTCTAATGTGTATATTCTTAAACAATATTCTCTATAGATTTGTTGGCTTCTGAGCATTCGTGGTCCCGCGTAGTTATTTAAATGGATTTCCTCTCTCTAAAAAACAATGCTGACAATTCACAAAGATACCTGTTTCCCCCAGAACTATACCATTACTATAATCTACTGACATTGAAGATTTCTGGAAGAGAGAGAGAATCATGGCACAAAATCCTTCTCAGGAGTAACTTTGAACTATAACCTAAAATGTAAGCACTGATTTAAATTACGTTTAGCAGGTAATTCACATACCTACCTTAGATTTAACAACCTTGTATTAACAACATTTCTTTATTGTTTATTTTGATTGCCTTTATTGACTAATGATGCCCAGGAATCCTTCCATAATCTGAGCCTCTCCTTTCCATTCATAATCCCCAGGCCTCATTATTTCATAATGAGGGAAAGGCAATTCCTGCATAATTAACATGAACTTTCCCAGAAACCCCAGTGTTGACCATGAGCTCAGGGACTATATTTTCTAAAAGGAAAATAAATGGAACATAACCTCTCACAAGTATTAATGGGACTATGGAATAGATCATCTGAATTCAGGTATATTGGAAAATCTAGGGTGATGGTTGCCATGCTACCCTGAGTCCCCTTATACTTAGCTCTTGCTGAGTTAAAAGGGAGCTGTGTGCATGAGAAAGACTAGCTAGTTAGTGCATAACTAGACAGTAACACTAGGAGGAAGGCCAAGAAATGTATCACTGATTTCTTGTTTGATTTCAGAGCTGGAAATAACTTCTGGTGGATTCCTGTAGTGGGCCCTTTGGTTGGTGCTGCCATTGGAGGCTTCATCTATATTCTTGTCATTGAAATCCACCACCCGGGCCCTGACCCAGACTTCAAGGCAGAACCATCAGAGGACAAACCAGAGAAACATGAACTTAGTGTTGTAATGTAGTGGCATGCTCAGTTCTGTGTTCTCAACTGGCTGAGCGGGTATTCTCTTCAAGAAAGATGACATACAGGTGTATGTAAGACTGGGGTGGAATCCACCCAGTTTTCTCTGCTACCCACGTGGGACACCTTATTGGAAACACATCCCAGTGAAGGTTTGGAAACACTGACCTCTTCTCTACCAGTTTCTTCACAGAATAGAACTGACTGTCCCCTGAAACAGCCTTATTTCCTGCCTTGTTTATTTCATCCTTGATGGGAATCCTTATTACTAGGTGAGACCTAACAACTTGGAATCTTGGCAATGGCCTTATTTGAATGCTCTTGGCTGCGTTATCTGTGTGAAATACTCATAGTGTTACCAAAAGTATCCTCTTCAATATCTACCAAGATTACATTCTGAGTGTCAACCAAAACCTAAACTGAAAGATGAAACAGTGGTTTCAGTTACTGTATCCATGAATTAGGGAGCTGATGGGTTAACTCTCTCATTATGTTATGTTACCGCATTTATATAAATATTGATATTCTTTAAATCTAGGGATGTAGTAAGCAGTCGAATACAGTATGGAATCACAGGGGAAGGACATCGTGGCATTCAGAAACCTCAGGAGAAAAGATAAATTTAGGAAACCCAAAGGAACTTTTTAATGGAAACCATTTATCAGATTAATCTCTCACTCTTCTGCATTTTAGAGGGCACCAATTAATTTCCTGGTCTTCAGTATATAATAACCTAAAATACAATTGTAACCTCAGTCATGAAAAATACATCACTCTGTCTTTTTAGCACAAATGTATTTTCCTAATTGCCCATTTGAGGACAGACATTTGACAAGTTAAGTCAATGCCCGAACTCATCCATTATTCTATGCATGCCCTAGAAGCCAAAAATGAAAGCTGTTGGATCCTGGTCTAGAAAAATCTTCAAGGTGGAAGGTCCCTAGAAAGACTATATTCCCTTATTGGGCTTTGCAATTCACAAAGCACTTTCACACGCATTATCTAAATTAATCTTCATAATGACTGTCTGAAGCAAATACCGTGCTGCCCATTTTTCAGGTAAAGAAACAAAATCTTAGGAAAGTCAAATGTTTCCAAGGTTGCGTGGAAAGTTGACCATCATCTAATACACCTCTTCACCTTTCAGAAGATAAATAACTGCCTGAGAATCTTTGCCAACCTTTCTGGGCTGGCCAGAAAAAGTGGAATTGGCAGCTGCCAGAACATATATATGCCTCCTGGACATGATGCTCCTGGATCTTCAGATAGAAAGTCCACCATTGTCTGATTTTATTCCCACTATTTTGAAGCATTATCAAAGGAAAGAGGTAACAATTTGACAATAGCTTTCACCTGCTGACAAACATCATCAGAAGGCCTCTCTTCCTAAGCCACCCTTGGTCTTGCTAAGTCTTGATCTTCCTTCTCTGCCAACCTCAAACACATTCAGGGAATTTCCTCTTCCTTAGACTCTGCTTTGTGCATTTCTCTAATTGACGTTACTTTCCACGAAGGAGTCTCTGTGAGTTACAAGCACCAGGGGAAGTGTTCTACATCAAAAGATGCACCTTCAGTCAAACTGGTAAAAAGCCCAGCATTTCCAGAGGCATCCAGTTTCCTTACTGCTTTATGATAATAACAGCAACAAAAAAGTAAATGGGAAATGTCTCTGGTAGCCCACATTCTACAACCTATGGACACATGGAATTTTTTTCTTGTTCTGAACCTACCTGGATATTTCCTACTTGAAATAAAGTTGGTGGGTGGTTGTTGGGTTTTGTTTTTGTTTTTGTTTTTTCAGTTTTTATATGTTTTAAAACTGCTAAGCACACTTGGTTCAGAGGTTGTCTATCCTGTCTACAAATATGAATCTCCTGGGGAGCATCTAAAAAATACTAAAGCCCAGTTGGTCCTTTATAAATATCTCAGTTGATTCTACTATGCAGTAGCTTGGTTAAATCACATGAGTCTAGGGTTTCTTTGAGAACCAAGCCTAGTGGTGGCCAGGTAATTCCCAGCAGGATTCTCAGAGTCTTGAGGTCCTTGAGGATTAGAGCAGTGATTCTTAACAGCAGGCAACTTTGCCTCCTCCTCTCCCCTCTCCCTACTCCTCAAAGGAACAGTTAGCAATGTCTGGAGACATTTGTGGTTGTCATAGCTGGGGAGGGGATGCTAATGGCTAGAGACCAGGAATGTTGCCAAACATTCTGCAATAGAGGACAACTCCTTGCAACAAAAAGTTACTCGTGTTTGGCCCGAAATGTGAATAGTGCTGAGGCTAAAAGACCTTGGAGTTAAGGAAAGGTGAGACAAGGAGTAAAAGAAGACATTGAAAGCCTGTGCCCCAATTCAAGTTCAGCCAGGAACAGAGATGCCAAACACACCAGGAACAGACCCTGGGGGCAGGGTGGATTATAACTCTTATAGCAAGAGGCTACCCAAGATTTCAGTTTTCAGGATGGATTGTGTAATCTGTGATCCGTGCAGGGGGTCATTAAACACTACTTGATGATTCATGACTAGGATTATGAAGAAGAAATGTACACTTATGCAAGTCAGCCCCAGGAAGGTTTTGTTTTCTTTTTGTTTTAAATGGAAAAAATCCTCTTGTTTCAGATGCTCATACCCAAATCCCCTCCCCAGTTTACAACTGGGTTTGCCTTTGTCAGGTTCTTAGCCAAGAGAAGGTTTATAAGGTTGAATTATCTGTATCAGAAGTCAATTGGATAGAGCCAACTAACCTATTTATTAAATAGCTCTTTTAGGCGTTTGAATTGTAACATCCCCCCTCCTCCCACTTGTCAATCAAAAACTTGATAGGTGCATTTATCATAATGCCAAAAATAGAATTTCTCTATGAATCCTCAACCACTTAAGATCTCAGTGTATGTCAAAGTTGTAAGACTTTTCTTACCAGCAACAACCAGAGTCAATATTCAGCTGTTGAACAGAGTAAGCAGAGTAAAAATGTCGTATTTTAAAATCTGATCCTTGTTTCTTTTAAATTGCTACCACACACATGTCTTATTTTAAGGTATGTCAATGTTCATTAATATCATGGGAAAAGAATTACAACTTCCTGTTACAGAGAATGTTTTATAAGTTTTATTGAGTCACAGAACCTATTGTTCAAATAAAACCTTCCATGGTACCCACAAGTGAACTGGAGCTGCTATAAATAGAGGAGACTGGGATCAGGTGTTTCATCCTGCTTGTGATATCATCTCACACAACCCCCCAGTGTAGCTCCTGAGGGGTCTCTCAAGAGAAACTCTGTGTGTGTGTGTGTGTGTGTGTGTGTGTGTGTGTGTGTGTGTGTGTGTGTGTGTGTGTGTGTGTGTGTGTGTGTGTGTGTGTGTGTGTGTGTGTGTGTGTGTGTGTGTGTGTGTGTGTGTGTGTGTGTGTGTGTGTGTGTGTGTGTTTGCAAGGATTTGGGTGGGGGTCTTCAGAACACAGTGACTCAATTTGAAAACCATCGATAAAGACTTGGAATAAGTTGTTGATGAACATTTTATAAAAATTTCAAGGATAGAACCTACCAAAGGCCCTAATACTTAAATCTCAGGTAATTTTCCAAAGGCTTCTTAATAAATGAATTAGATAGGGTAAACAGAATTACTCAACACACCAAACATCACCTACAAAGAGATATTGTATATCAGTTCTCAAACTCGGAATTCGAGATAACGTGTTTACTAATCACAGTTCATAGTGAGGAGCACTGGTAGTCCTGTGCTTACTGGCAAGGCTTACTGTGTGGACTGTCAAAGTGTGTATAGAAATAGATAGATGATAGATAGACAGACAAATAGACAAACAGATAACTGACCAAGCCTCAGACTGTTTCTTTTTACTGGAAATGGAATAGCTCTTCTGCAAGGGATGCTGTCTCTGCGTTAATGAAAGGAGAGCCCCATGTAAACTAGACATGAATGACTAAACTGAATGAGCTAAGAGAACCCATGGAACTATGAGTGCGTGGAGATGGTGCCCAAGCACAGTTTAGCTCTGTCTTCCTCCTGGGCTACGTTATGTTTTTTGTGGCTTTAGGCACTTTTGCCTTAGTGGACCTCTTTGCTCACCAAAAAAATAAATTGATCAATCAGTTAAAATAAGTTATGTTTTATGACTGTACTGGTGACAAGCTGCATTATATTCCTTTTTTTCCATATGGTTTTAGGAGAGATTGAAACATTTTCATGGGCTCCTAAAAGTATCCTGGGCTCTAGGCACTGTACCTAATGAGTCAGCCCTGACTCCCTCTAGCGCACTCCCTGGTGCCACACAGCAGCCCCTTCTGCCTGGTGGCCCTCAACTCCCTGCCTGTGGGGTCTCAGGAAACAGTGCAGGAGCCTTGAGAGTCCTGGAGCTTGTGAGGGATGCTTCAGAGGCCAGGCCCCCGGCCATAAGGAACATCCACGTCAGGGCCTTCTTTTCTTCCTCAGGCTCCCAGCAGGAAAGGGGTTCCTGACCTGCTGCAAAGTTCCCAGGACCTGCGCCCCACAAGCTCCAGATCCTGTAACGTGTTATTAGCACACCAGTCTTGTGCAGTGTCTCGCAGTTTACAAAGCAGATTCACATCCAGTACCTCGTAAGACTCTTAGGACAGCTCAGCAAGTAGATTATGATCCCCTTTAGAGATGAGGAAACTGAGGCTCCAAGGTGCTAAACAATTGGGATGAGATTCCAGAGTAAAGAGTGGTAGAGGTGGGATGTGAGCCATGTATCTGAGTAACGTGACCCACCGTCTCAGGGTTTTTCCAGGATGTAGGACGAGCTGGTCACGCTACGTCCTGAGCCAAGACCCATGCACTTCCCACCACTGAGCCTCCTCCTGGACAGATGCTCATGTTCTCCAGCAGATGACAGGTCCATTAATTAGGCTGACAGAAAGAATGTCATCATTTTTAATTTCAATTGTAAATGTGAATAAATGTTTTAAGAGTGGCACAATGGTTAAGAACATAGGTGTATTAGTCTATTCCAGTTGCTTAAAACAAAATACTTGAAACTGGGTGATTTATAAAGAAAATGAAATTTATTGCTTACAGTTTCTGAGGCTGGGAAGTCCAAAGTCCATCTGGTGGTGGTGACAATGACCCAAGGGTCTCTCACATTGCAAGATGGTGGAAGCAGAGAGAACAGAGGCTAACCTTCTCCCTCCTCATTCACTCTCTTTCTAAAGCTCTCAGAACCACACCCCTGACCACCATTTTTAATCCACTCACTATGGCATGGTCCTACAGTCTAATCACCTCTGCAAGCCTTCACCTTTGATAACCATAGTAGGATTTCCCACCCTCATAATGGTCACAGTGAGGGCCAAGTTTCTAATACATAAAACTTGGGGGACACAATTCAAGTTCCATTTAGTTTTGGGGGGTTATAATTCAATCCACTACAATAGGCTGTTAATGAAGATTCTGTCTGCTCTACCTTCAAAACACATTCTAAATCTGACCTCTCCTCACCCACAGCCCTGGTCAACCCAAATGGTCTTCAAAGCGCCACATGTTCTGATCTTCCTGGCCTGGTCTCTACTGATCTTCCTCTTGTCTGTCCTCTTGGTTCCAGTCGCACAGGCCTCCACCCTGACTCTTGAACCCTCCCAAGCAAGCCCCTGCCACAGAGCCTTTGCACTTGATGTTTCTCTTGATTGAAATTCCCTACCCCACCTCCTTTAGGTCTCTGTTCAAATGTCACCATGTTAGTAAGGCTCTTGTGATCACCCATCAGTCCCTGTCCTCTTCCTTGCTTTATTTTTCTCCATAGCACCTATCATCCTCCTTAAAATACACATTACATATACAAAATATAATAATACATATTATGTATTAGACTTGTTGGATTTTGTCTGTTTCCTCCCATTAGAATAGAAGGCCCACTCTGGCAAGACTTTTTGATCTTTTATCTATCATGCTGCCCCTGTGCCTGGACCACAGTAACTGCTCAATAACCATCTGCTGAATGGGGCTAGTCGGTTGGCTTAGTTGGTTAGAATGCAGCCTTATAATGCTAAGGTCACTGGTTCAGATCCCAGTATGGCCAACTACCACAAAAACATAAATAAATAAATAAATATTTGTTGAATGAATGGAATACAGAGTCACACTCTCTGGGTTTAAGTCATAGCACTTCTGCTTACTAGTATGGTAGCCAAATTATTTAGCCTCAGTTTGCCTATCTATTAAGTAAGGATAATAACAATGAGATAATCAGTGTAAAGCTCTTAAAGCAGTTCCAGCCTCATAGTTTGTACGAGGGCACTTCAAAAAGTTCGTGGAAAGATCTGTATTATCTTTCAATTCTATCTTGAAATACCCTCATATTTAATAAATATGACCTGCTGCTGCAGCAGCAACTGCTGTTGTTATCAATATTAGTATCATTATAATACGTTGTGGTTTGAAAACATGAAAGAAGGTCATCAGAACGGGTTACAAGTGCTGGCCTTATCCTCCATAATTTAATAACTCTCAGTTGCACATATCTTTCAGGCACTATTTTTCAAGTAACTGAGGATTCAATTGTATTTTTTAATCTTTAACAGAAGTCAGTAGGGTTACCTTAAATATTTTTATTCTGAAAGAGTTAAAACATAGTGAGAAAATAGTGTGATGACACCTCCCACACTCCAGCTTCAACAGTTACCAGCACGTGGTCAATATTGTTTCTCTTTTACCCTCTCTCTGCTTCCCAATAGTCCCCCTGAGATTTATCTGAAGCAAATCCCAGACGTGATGTCACTTTATCCATGAATATTTAAGAT